GCTCGGGTACACGGATATATACAGCGTTTATTATTATTATTATTATTGTTATTATTATTATTATTATTATTATTATTATTATTATTATTATTATTCGAAATAGCTGCTAAGCCCGTAGGGGCCAGACAGAACTGCAAAAGACGCTTCTAAATTAAAGTTCTAGATAGACGTGACGGGGTCCGTAATGAAAAAAAAATATATCTTGAAACGTATAAGAGAAAACCTTATAAAGAACTTAATTTTAAATGAGTTCTTGCTAATTGATCAATTTTACCTATTTGGCACGACATATTTATATCTATGACGATGGAATATGACAGGGAAACAGACAACTTTTGTTCTTACGATATTAGCTATCAAATAGTATAGGCTGAGGTACACTGTGGAAATTTTCATAATGTAATCCATATAGTATACGGTAGCCAGCCGCCCACAGCAATTACTCCCACGGTGTAGCTATAAGATAATATGATGTCAGCGCTCTGCTTACAACAGTCAGGAACCGGGAGCTTCAGCGTGAGTTCTACAGGTCAATGTTGAGGTCGGGAGAGTGGCAGATGCCGTTGAATGTGAACAAAGATGGGGGTTATAGTTCCTGGAGAACAATAACTCCGTCAGCTGTGAAATTAAATGAACCGCAGCAGAAATGTGAAGCTGGTGCAACAGCACAGACATTGATTAGCGGGATGGTAATGACACTACCCTCAAGCAATGGAAATAAGTCACTTTGACTTTTTTTTTGGTTATCCTAGGTAATTTACACTATATATGATAATTGTACTTATGTTTTCCTGTGCCTAAATAAGCTTACTAACTACTCGGAGAACGGTGTGCCGCTCGAATCCATAGGACTAACTTACCATGAGTTCGAACCCTCACACAGTTTGTGAATAATCAACGTCTTAGTGATAAATTTGCTGTAGTGGAGTGCTTGGCTTTATATCAAGAAATGTAGAATAAGCTTACGTAAAGACAACGTTTCGTTCTGTGTAGAGCTTTTACAAAGTTCTATGAGCGAAACGTGGTCTTCACACTTGTCAACAACACTCCGCTCCAAGAACGTCCCGACTGGCCTGGTCACAGACCGGGCCGCGGGGGCGTTGACCCCCGGAACTCTCTCCAGGTAAACTCCAGGTAAACTGCTCAGAGACCGCGGCGCCGTCTCAGGAGAAGACCCGAGCCAGGACGGGTCCTGACTCGGGTCTTCTCCATGTGGGAACCCGACAGTGGCTCCCGAAGGAGTGTCAGAGTGTGTACAAGTGATTGATGTACCGTTCACAGCACTATAGCTGGGGCACAGTGAGCATTCATGTCAAATGTAGTATCGTTTACAGCCCTATGACAAGAGTGCAGTGAGCCGTCTTCCTGTCAAGTGGAGTACCATTTACAGCCCTATGGCGGGGGCAGCCCTATGGCAGGGGCAGCCCTATGGCGGGGGCAGCCCTATGGCGGGGGCAGTCCTATGGCGGGGGCAGCCCTATGACAAGGGAGCGGTGACTCTTTCAACATCAACTGAGCCATTCCTGGCACTCAGGCCACAGCCCGAATGCCAGAACTACTCGGGAGATCCTCTGGAGGTGTGTTGAACACCTGACGTCTGACAGGAGTCCCGTCCCTCGAAGACCTGACTGACTCAGACACTGGGTCGCGATTGCGAACGAAGGATCGAGCCTTAGCAAATCTTCATTATATGACCGAGCTCTGATCTCATTTAACTGTTGTTGTTGTCGTTATTATAATTATTATAATAATAATTATTATTATTATTATTATTATTATTATTATTATTATTATTATTATTATTATTATTAGTAGTAGTAATTGCAGCAGCAGCAGTAATAATAATAATATTAATTATTATTATTATTTTGAATGTGAAGCGCTAAAACCGCAGGGGTCATACAGCGCCTTGGGAAAGGGAGACACTCAGGTTTGATTCAGTGAAGGAGAAGAGCGCCTCCAGTATCTTGGATCAGAAGCCTTTGACCATTAAACCCCCATCCATGAAGGATCCTCCTCAAGAATATAATAATAATAATAATAATAATAATAATAATAATAATAATAATAATAATAATAACAATAATAATAATAATAATAATAAGAAAAAAAAGACAGAATAAAGTAAAATTTTATATATATACAAAACAAAAAATGGATAAATAAAGGAGATCAAAATAAGGCGCTAAAAAATCTAATAAAGACGAAACAAGTAATAATGGAATCAAAGATTTAATTTTGATTTAAAAAATAAATTCGGATGAAAAAAAAATGTTTCTGGGCCTAAGAAACGAGTGAGAGAAATTACTAAGATAATTATAATTAAAGCAAATGAGTCAAGATAACTTTATTAATCTTTTTAGGAAAAATAATAGCATTATGAAATGGTTTAAAGTCAACGGAGGAAGGGATGGATGCCTGTAGGCTCTCGAATTATGTCGAGTAGGCCTATTTTCAGGCTGTAGTGGAGTGTCTCTTCGTTAAATATACTGGTGCTGTACATGTGTCTTGTTAATGGGTGACACATTGGTTGAGGATGTGTCCCTGGACAGCTGCTAGACACGGATGTGTCCCTGGACAGCTGCTAGACACGGATGTGTCCCTGGACAGCTGCTTGACACGGATGTGCCCCTGGACAGCTGCTAGACACGGATGTGTCCCTGGACAGCTGCTAGACACGGATGTGTCCCTGGACAGCTGCTTGACACGGATGTGCCCCTGGACAGCTGCTAGACACGGATGTGTCCCTGGACAGCTGCTTGACACGGATGTGCCCCTGGACAGCTGCTAGACACGGATGTGTCCCTGGACAGCTGCTAGACACGGATGTGTCCCTGGACAGCTGCTTGACGCGGATGTGTCCCTGGACAGCTGCTAGACACGGATGTGTCCCTGGACAGCTGCTTGACGTGGATGTGTCCCTGGACAGCTGCTTGACATGGATGTGTCCCTGGACAGCTGCTTGACGGGGATGTGTCCCTGGACAGCTGCTAGACATGGATGTGTCCCTGGACAGCTGCTTGACGTGGATGTGTCCCTGGACAGCTGCTTGACACGGATGTGTCTCTGGACAGCTGCTTGACACGGATGTGTCCCTGGACAGCTGCTAGACACGGATGTGTCCCTGGAAAGCTGCTTGACACGGATGTGTCCCTGGACAGCTGCTTGACACGGATGTGTCCCTGGACAGCTGCTTGACACGGATGTGTCCCTGGACAGCTGCTTGACACGGATGTGTCCCTGGACAGCTGCTTGACACGGATGTGTCCCTGGACAGCTGCTTCACACGGATGTGTCCCTGGACAGCTGCTTGACACGGATGTGTCCCTGGACAGCTGCTTGACACGGATGTGTCCCTGGACAGCTGCTTGACACGGATGTGTCCCTGGACAGCTGCTTGACACGGATGTGTCCCTGGACAGCTGCTTGACACGGATGTGTCCCTGGACAACTGCTTGACACGGATGTGTCCCTGGACAGCTGCTTGACACGGATGTGTCCCTGGACAGCTGCTTGACACGGATGTGTCCCTGGACAGCTGCTTGACACGGGTGTGTCCCTGGACAGCTGCTTGACACGGATGTGTCCCTGGACAGCTGCTTGACACGGATGTGTCCCTGGACAGCTGCTTGACACGGATGTGTCCCTGGACAGCTGCTTGACACGGATGTGTCCCTGGACAGCTGCTTGACACGGATGTGTCCCTGGACAACTGCTTGACACGGATGTGTCCCTGGACAGCTGCTTGAGACGGATGTTTCCCTGGACAGCTGCTAGACACGGATGTGTCCCTGGACAGCTGCTTGACACGGATGTGTCCCTGGACAGCTGCTTGACACGGAGTGTCCCTGGACAGCTGCTTGACACGGATGTGTCCCTGGACAGCTGCTTGACACGGATGTGTCCCTGGACAGCTGCTTGACGCGGATGTGTCCCTGGACAGCTGCTTGACACGGATGTGTCCCTGGACAGCTGCTTGACACGGATGTGTCCCTGGACAGCTGCTAGACACGGATGTGTCCCTGGACAGCTGCTAGACACGGACGTGTCCCTGGACAGCTGCTAGACACGGATGTGTCCCTGGACAGCTGCTTGACAGGGATATGTCCCTGGACAGCTGCTTGACACGGATGTGTCCCTGGACAACTGCTTGACACGGATGTGTCCCTGGACAGCTGCTTAACACGGATGTGTCCCTGGACAGCTGCTTGACACGGATGTGTCCCTGGACAGCTGCTAGACACGGATGTGTCCCTGACAGCTGCTAGACACGGATGTGTCCCTGGACAGCTGCTTGACACGGATGTGTCCCTGGACAGCTGCTAGACACGGATGTGTCCCTGACAGCTGCTAGACACGGATGTGTCCCTGGACAGGGAATTTGTTTTCAAGAAAGAACTCAACAAAATTCCTCTAATCCGTTCCTGATCAGCCGGGCTGTGGTGCACACGTTGAACATCGGGCTGCGAGCGCAAACAGCCTGATCGATGAGGCCAACAACCAGGAGGCCTGGTCTGGGACCGGCCCGCGGGGAAGGTGACCTCCGGAAACGACTCCAGGTGACCTAGGACAACAACATTGACTAAATGAGACAAAACGAGAGGAAAATATAGAGGCTGGAGTACCTCACAAGTGGTCAGTAAAAGCCAGTGTGAAAAAAAACATGATTAGCATCTTTATTCAGAAAACGTTTCGCCCCTAGTGGTTTCTTCGGTCTATTACGGAGAAAAGTGGCGAAATGGTTCCTGGTTAAAGAGGGTTGAATGTCGCACACTGGTCTTATTTATCAATTTGCTGTGTCTTTAAGCTATTTATTCACGTGATGGAGTATACCTGGAGGGTGTTTCAGGGATCAACGCCCCCGCGGCCAGGTCCATGACCAGGCCTCGCGGTGCATCAGGGCCTGATCAACTAGGCTGTTACTGCTGCCCGCACGCAAGCCGACATACGAGCCACAGCCCTTCTAGTCAGGTGGGGTTATTTACAAGGAAGCAACTCACCTCGGCTAGGTTCGGCGGCCAACAATCGGTCGACGCCAAATTTCAGCGGTGGTGCTGTGGGTGGCGACGATGTCTTGGTGTATGGGGCGAGGGCGGCTGTGGGCGTGTGCTGGGGACTGAGGGAGAGGGTGGGCGTGGGATTGAGGCTGGCCTGGGAGAGAACCACACAGGCTGCCGTCCTGGGCACTGGTGGTGGCAGCAACATGGACGCCCGCAAACTCTCCTTCCCGTCAAACATGCCGAGTAGGCCGCCCAGGGGTGGCAGGGCGGGTGGTGGCACCTCCCAGGGCAGTGCTCCTGACACAAACATCTCGTGAGGTAGTTCAGACGACCTCGTTCAAGAAATTAATTGATTCACTTCACGGTATTTGACCTTATCAATCTATTTACACACACACACACACACACACACTACTTCGTGTTTAATGCTGCCTCTTATGAGGTAGTTCAGACGACCCGCGTGACGCCAGTTAACCTGACCTCTCACTTGACCCACATACACTGCAGCAAGTGGGAGGTCACTACTTGACTGCTGCCTCGGGTGCAGCCGTCACTGCTCACACACCACCAACAAGGGTTCACTACTGACTAGTGTTAGTGCCTCTTGTCCCAAGTATCCTGCCCAGGCACGGTTCTCAAGTCCCGCCCTGTGCCCCACCCACCTCAACACCCACACGTCTTCCCATTTCTTCTCAGTTAACAGTCTCTAATAATACATACTTTAAGAATATTGTTCAAGTCTGTGAGTCGTTTAGACACGTCTACGGATCTCACAAAGACATTTGAAATAAACTGTGCAATCAATAGAGCAAAAAACGTACTTGGACTAATGAGGAACGTTGAAAACGTGAACTAATCGACGATTGGTTGTTCTTCACATGTGTTCGCTGCTATTGGCTGAGGCAGTATATGGGCGGGTGGGCAAGGAGAGTGTGGGTTGTGCAGTGTGTGAGGTTTGGCACCCGGGTGTCAGGCGCCAGAGCAGTATCCACACGTCAAACCATCCCTTCATCTGCGGCAGCGGTTCAGCACTCGGCCATGATAGTGTTAATGAGGTGTTTGGGAACAGGGTTAAAGGAGCCGCCCAACCGCTGATCCCTGACATTGCTGTAGTTGGTACACCTGAAACCTCACTAATTCCTGCCGATGCTCCTTTGCATACTGGTGAGAAAGGTCGCCAGGTCAGGTGACCGACCACTCCTTGTTCGCCCAGGCAGTTTGCTCACTGTTTTTTTGGAACGTAATCAGCTCTTCGAACATGTTCTTATTTACAAAGGTTTCGTAACCTTACTGAAATACGATTGTTGTGAAGACAGGTGATGTTAATATACGTCAGAACACTTGATTTCTTTGTTAAGGCTCTCTATCCTCTGCCCCAATACCCTACAACGATGCCCTCTCCCTTACCTTGCCACCATACCTGCTCCCATACCCTGTCACAATACCCTGCCACCATACCCAGCCACCATACTCTGCCACCATACCCTGTCTCCATACTCTGCCCCAACTCGCATGACAACTATTAAGGAAAATTAACAACTCATGTATATCGGACCACAGCTGACCTGAGCGATCATTAAGAGGGAACACACACACACACACACACACACACACACACACACTTTAGTTCATTTTTAATTCTCTCTAATATGATGATCTCAATACATCTACATGGTAGAGTGTTCCACACATCTACAACTCTACTACCAAATCAGAATTTCCAAAATCCTTTCTAAACCTTAACGAACCGTTTCTGAAGTTTTAGGTATTTCTCAACGAGCACGCAATTTCTGTTGAGAAATTTACTCTGTATTATACATAACGATGTCGTTATACATTATTCATGAGTGTTGTGATATGCTGCATGCACAACCCCTTCCTTCCCTTCTCCCCTCTCCCCTTCCCTTCCTCCCCTTCTCCCCTCTCACCCTTCCCCCTTTCTCTTTATCTGTTGGTCAGGTCAACACTTAGAGTCATTATGAGGAGAGTAACCTTACCAGAGGAAGGAGAGGCATCGTCTCACGTTACTTGTGTGTGTGTGTGTGTGTGTGTGTGTGTGTGTGTGTGTGTGTGTGTGTGTGTGTGTGTGTGTGTGTGTGTGTGTGTGTGTGTGTGTGTATGTGTGTGTGTAAGATAGATAAAGAGAGAGAGAGAGAGAGAGAAAGAGAGAGGCAGACAAAGTTTATTCCTCCCACACTCATGATAACATCAAGCATACCCACACACTCAAGTAACATCAATTATATCCATACACTCAAGTAACGTCAATCATACCCACACACTCAAGTAACATCAATTATACCCACATACTCAAGTAACATCAATCATACCCACACACTCAAGTGATGACACCAATGTTTTTAATCATTCTTCGTAAGAATGATTTGTGATATTGGAAATCAATCAAATCATTCCCTATCATCCTATTCCTTACAATACTTAAAACCAACCTGTTCTCAAGAGTTACAAAGGAATGTAGGAAGGAACTTAGCAAACCCTGAGCTAGACTTTTCAACAAATCACTACAAACTGGCATAGAGGTGGATAAGTGGATACCTGTCTACAGAACGAGAGACAGGTCCTTAGCTTCGAATTATAGACCAATTTGCCTAACCTTCATTTGTAGGAAAATTGGTGGAATTAATAACCAGTTCAGAGTGGCTTTGAAAGAAAGACGTTTTGTCACTGAAATATTTGAGAAGGTAGAACATGGTAATGAATACGATATTGTGTATATGGACTTCAGTAAAGTCTGTGATCGAGTTCCACACAGGAGATTGTTGAGGAAAGTAGAGACACACGGAATAGGAGGGGATTTTTTTTCTGAATCGAGGCGTGGTTGACCGATAGGCAACACAAGCAACTTTGCTGATGGCACTAGACTAGGTCGTCAGACAAATTCTAAAGTCTCTAGAGTGCTACAACTTCTGGATTAGTTGATACAATGGCCAGAGAAGTGGCAGATGCAGATTAATGGAAGGTTCTATGCTTGGGAAAAGAAAATAACTATGGGACTTATAAACTAAATAATGTAGATCTCAATCATTCTGAGTTCGAAAAAGATTTAGGAGTTCTGGTTAGCAGTAATCTAAAGCCAACAGTGCATAAGTATTTGCCACAAAGCTAATAGAATTCTTGGCTTCATATCAAGAAGTAGAAATAACAGGAGTCATCAGGTTATACTTCAACTCTATGTATTCGCCGGGTCACCACCTGGTAAAGACCCGGGCTGGCGTGTGGGACAGATTTCACACAGGTCTGGAGTTTTGAGACCCTGATCGCGGGTTCTAACCCAGCCCGTGGTATGGTTTGTTTCACACACAGAGCCGTGGGTGAGTCCACCGCTGTTTCCTATCTATTTTCTTTTTTTGTGAATGGTAATTCTGAAACTGATAGAAATTACTGTGGTAAAACTACCATTGTTACCTGTACTGTTGTCACGGGACAAGACCGGCGAACCTATTACAATTCAAACTCTATACTTGGTAAAGCCTCATTTAGATTATGCTGTGCAGTTTTGGTCTCCATGCTACAGAATGGACATAATTGTGCTGGATAACACCCAAAAAAGATTGGCAAGTTGATCTTATGTATCAGAATTCTTTCCTACAAGGACTGACCAAGGACACTGAATGTATGGCGGACAATCAGAAGTGATATACTTGAAGTGTACAAGTGGAAGACAGGAATAAAGGGGATATAAACATGCTGAAAATACCTAACGAAAATATCTAAATGGCAAGATGTGGAAAAGACATTTATGTACAAATCATGCCTTTTAATAGTGAAAACGTTTTTCCACGAGTGGTTTCTTCAGTCTTGTAGATAAATGGTTCAGATAACTGACAAGTTGATAAATTAGACACATGTGCAACACTTGGGTATCTTTATTGAAGAAACGTTTCGCTACACAGTGGCTTCATCAGTCCAATACAAAGAAGAACAGTGAAGATCAGAAGGAGACTGAGGTAATCAGTCCCTCAGCCTGGAGTCGACGTAATTAGTCCATCAGTCTTGATAAGCATGCAGTATATAAGCCACCTCTTCGCAGTATATGTTATATTCTTGTCAAGATTGATGGACTGATTACATCGACTCCAGGATGAGGGACTGATTACCTCAGTCTCTTTTTGATCTTCACTATTCTTCTTTGTATAGGACTGATGAAGCCACTGTGTGGCGAAACTTTTCCACAATAAAGATACCCAAGTGTTGCACATGTGTACAGTTTCTACAGTCTTAATCGTTGTTCTGAAGTTGGCAAAACTGAGATTTAGAAAGTGTCTAGGAAAGCACTGGTTTGCTAATAGAGTTGTTGATGAGTACAAGGAACTCCCAAGTAACTTTAGTGACGCGAGAATCACACACGATATTGTATTGTGTGAGTTGAATCTGCCTAACATGGGCCAGTAGTCCTGCTGCAGTGTTCCTTCTTTTGCTCTTAAAGTTGGTAATAAATACCAACAATGAGACACAACACAGAAATAACCCGCACATAGGAGATATGAGCTTACGACAACGTTTCGGTCCGACTTGGACCATTTACAAAGTCACACTGATCACAGTGATCCAAGTCGGACCGAAACAGAGAGATATAGCATTTAACAGAGCGATATAGCACTTAACAGAGCGATATAGTACTTAACAGAGAGATATAGTACTTCAGAGCCCTTACTCTGAGGTACTGCGGGGCTATAGATGACCTCACTCAAAGGATATTAACACGTACGGTCGAGGTCATCATGTGTTTGAGTGTTAAGTAGAATGATAACAAAATCTTGTTTATACTTCCTGGCCCTTCGAAGGTCAACGACCTCATTTTAAGCATATGAAATATAACAATTGCTCTCAGAGGCCCACCAAACACTGCCTAACATTTTATTTCAAATGCACACTTACCAGTGCCTTTTAAAAAGTTAGTTAATGTAAATGTATGGGATTCTTATCCTTGGGTGATTTGACCCGTGGCGAATATTAAAAGGAATGAACCGGAGGTCAGGTCAGGGTGTAAGGTGGCTGGCTTCTCAGAACCACCACCTCGCTGTTACTGCTCACAGCAGTGTACTAACTATTGATGACACCAGCTGCCCGCCCTGCCGTCTCCCTTACAGGGTAACGAGGAAGGTGGGTTTAGAATTGCGATGATTGTCTTAATCCTCTGGTGTCTGTAAGGCCAGGAGAGACACGGACCTGACGTGTACACAGTTGCATTACGAAGTTCTGAAGAGAGAGAGAGAGAGAGAGAGAGAGAGAGAGAGATTGGCTCGCGTTCCTTAGATTGAAAACCTTTGAGCATCATCAAGGCACCCTTTACCCCGTCTTATTGCAGAGCTGATGGATAAACCAGGATGGGGCAGGAAAGATGGCATTTTAGGACCTCGTTATTCAAGTGATTTACCCGAATCAGGTGTTGGGCCCCCGGTGTGCAGCGGCTGGCTCCCCTCCTGCTCAGAATGAGCTGTAAAAATGCTCTTTTGGGAAGATATCAATAGACCGGCTGTGGTCCAGCGGGGTATTGATGTTTGTGCCCGAGGTATTGATGTGTTTGTGCCCTGGGTATTGAGGTGTTTGTGTGTGTGTGTGTGTGTGTGTACCTGGGAAGACAGTCGTTGGTTTGGTTCGTTGTTCTGGTTGAACGTAGTGTTCTCTGGTTGCGTTTGCAATGCTTTTGTTGCGCTGGCGTAGACGTTAAGTGTGCTTGTTGTTGTGCTGGCGTAGACGTTAAGTGTGTTTGTTGTTGTGCTGGCGTAGACGTTAAGTGTGCTTGTTGTTGTGCTGGCGTAGACGTTAAGTGTGTTTGTTGTTGTGCTGGCGTAAGACTTTTAAGTGTGCTTGGGTTGTTTTTTGGGTGGCGTAGACTTAAGTTTGGGTTTGTGTGGTGTTGTTTTTTTGGCTGGCGTAGACGTTAAGTGTGCTTGTTGTTGCTTGCTGTGGTCGTAGACGCTGGCTGTGTTTGCTGTTGCTTGCTGTGGTCGTAGGCGCTGGCTGTGTTTGGTGTTGCTGTGGTCGTAGACACTAGCTGTGTTTACTGTTGCTTGTTGTGGTCGTAATCTTAATGTTCGGGTGTGTTGCAAGCGATTCTCGGGTTAAACTTGAAAATGGGTCCAAAACGGACCGAAACGTCTTAAAATTAGTCCTGAAGGACCGAAACATGCTACAGTCCTGTAATTGTGGGTATTCACCCATTACGGAGAGATATTGCCATTAAAGGAAAAGAAAGAGAGAGGAGAGAGAGAGAAATGAGAGAGAGGAGAGAGAGAGAGAGAGAGAGAGAGAGGGAGTGAGAGAGGGGTGAGTGTGAATTACTGTGATTAAGACACGTGAAGATACCCAGTATGTCTCATTCATCGTCGATGTTTTATACCATTTTCGTATGGATATTGATTTAATTTGCCTTTTCTTGATCTACCATCTCTCTCTCTCTCTCTCTCTCTCTCTCTCTCTCTCTCTCCTCTCTCTCTCTCTCCCCTCTCTCCTCTTCAACATAAACATCGCTCCCCATTCAATTCTTTGTCAAAACAAAAAATAGATAGAAAATTTGGGGACAGCACTGGGGGGATTTAACAAAAATTAATTTTTTTTGTTTTGGATAAAAAGAAAAAAAGATAATAGAGATAATGATTGAGGAGAAAGGAGGGTTGAAAATAATATAAAAAAAGGGGAGTGGGTGAGGGAGGGGAAAATTAGAGAGGAGAGGGAGAGAAGAGGGAGGTAGAGGTGAGAGGGGGGAGAGAGAGAGGTGAGGGGAAATGGTGAAAAATGCAGAAGAGGATGAGAGGAAGAAGAGAGAGAAGAGAGAGAGAGGAGAAGAGAGAAGAGAGGAGAGAGAGGGGAGGAGAGAGAGAGAGATGGTATAACTGGGAAAACGATATATAGAGA